CATGGCTCATGGCAGGCCATGGGCAGAGGTCCCCTGGACTGGGGGATGCGGGGCTGCATCGCCACTTCGCAGGGCGGCTGCATCCCCCATGCAGGCACGAGAAGGGCGCCGAGCCCTAGGGGTTTCTCTTTAACAAGCGGAGCCGGGGGCTTGGGCTGCAGCAGGAGGAAATGATTCCTTGGTGAGGTTCCTGCTGCAGGAAGGGCCGTGCCTGGAGGCAGGACCCGAATCTACCGCCACAGACCAGCCGCCAGCCTCATCACCCTTGGGGGCCCACAGAGAGGAGCCATGGGACTCCCAGCAGCCTGCTGCACTGCCAGGGCTGGGCAACAGGAGCCCTCCCTTTCCCTCCCCAGCCTGTTGGAGGCATGGGGAAGGTGTCCCCCCTATTTGGGCTTGCTAAGAGGAACAGCAGCAAGCTCAAGCAAAGGGGCTGGTGGCCCAATTCATGCACAGCCGGTGGAGATAGCAGAAGTGAGAGCAGACAACCTGCACCTTTAGCTGCACCCAAGGGAGCCTGGGAAAACCAGGGAGCCCTTGCTGCCAATACAGCCTCATCTCCGACATGAGGATGGGGAGGATAGAGGGGAGGTAACACTGATCTGGGCCAACAGACCTTGTCCCTCCATCCTTTCTGCTGAGACAAGAGGCCTGACCTTGGTTTTAGGTCTGGAAACCTATTGCCGTAGAGAAGCAAATCCAGAAGACAGCTGTACTTGTTGTTAAATAAACTTTAATCATTTTTGCATCAGGGTGAAAGGAAAATAAAATTTGTTTCTGGCCTCACTATTGGCCAAGAGTTAAAATCCGCAGCGAAGAGCAGACAGGCTCATTTCTTTCCTATTTTCATGAAGGCCATGCTGCCGGTGGATTCTCAAAGTGAAAGACCCTGGGGCAGGCAGGTGGGTTGCTCTCCTCCCCAGCGACTGCTGTGGCCTCCCTGGCTCACAACCCACACCGCCCACTTGGCGCGGGGCCTGGAAGTCACAATTCAAAGTGGTCCCAGTGTTCAGATCGCTAAAGGCACAAGTTTCATTTTGGCGTCCCTTCCCAAACCCTGTGCTGCTGGATCCATGGTGTGGCCACGGTTAGTTTTCCCCAAGCAGGCAAGCGAGTTTTGTGCAAAATCTCACATAAAAAAATACTGGTTTTCCATACTGAATATCCTAAAAAAACTAGAGCTTTAATCAACGTCAGTTATCCACACCCTTGATTTAATATCTTGCATATTTACACCCTGGAAACTTGCTGTGTTTCCATTGCAAGGCGAAGCGCCTTTGAGATGAGGCCAAAGAGAATGGACACTGTCACCAGAAAGGAAAATTGGACCAGCCCAGAGCAGCACCAGCTTTGTGTGAGTAGGGGGAATGTTACTTTGCAAATCGCTGGTCTTTCCCCTCCTGGTTGGACCTTTCCAGCCCTCCTTGCTCAGCCCCAGGAGGGGAGATATTCCTCTCCATGCAGCAGGCGCACCTATGCCTTCGCGCGTCACCCAGCACTGACTGCTCCCGTCTT